TCGGTGGCTAGCTCGCCTCCCAATTTTTCAAAGTGACCGTCGGGAAGGCACATCGCAACTCTTATTTTTCTTCGTTGCTATGCTCAAGAGGAGTGATGAGATCAGTTGTCGTTCACTGCGTGATATTTTTTGTGAAAATGAAGACAGCGAACACGATGGTTGAACGGCGAGGAGGTTCTGGTGATGTCATTGGGTGTCACTAGAGGACCAGGTTTCTTATCACGCCGGGGAGTGTGATTCAACGCCCTTCCATCAATCGGCCCAGTGACGTCATCATAATTGCTCCGCCCTCTAGTTGTTGTGTCCACTGCCTTTAAGGAAGAACGGTGTATTAGGAAAAAAATGAAAAGTGCTGAATGAAACATGGAAAACTGCTATGACAATAATCGTTTGCAAATTCCTGTTTCAGATGACTCTGGTCGATCAGCATCACGGTTTAAGTCAATGCAACGAGGCAAGCAGGATCATCTGTGATCGCTGTTAATGCACCTATATTTGAAATTTCTTCGTCTTCTTGCTGCCGTCATTATCCCGGCTATTCTCAACGGGTTACCTGTGAAACACTCCATTATATATGTATTTTTTCTAAGAGAAAAAAAGCAAATTTTGTTGTAAATATCGAGAACTTTCCCGTCTGCATATCTCATCAAAGTCATGCGAGCCCTTGCAAATTCAGATCAATTATGCTGCTCAAATTCGTTTTATGTTCTGTGTGTACTTCATTCATTGTTCGCTATCACCTAAAGCGCGTATGATCTCACGGCCTAAGGCTCATCAGTCATCATCATCACCATCATCATTATTACTATCATCGTCATCATCATCATCATCGTAGAGGAAAAGGGACCACTTGGCTTCGAATCGTGTCTTTGGTCCTGATCCGTTCCCGTTTTTTTAATGAACTTATAGCTCTTCAATCGCATTTATATCACGCAATATACATAAATATATTGAGGATATATTTGATGATTTAAATATATGATGAGCTTTACGTTCTTCGTTTTTTACCTTGTTTTTTTCTTTCTTGGATACTTGATTGAGGCTCTACGGTTCCACCATGTCATATTCTTGCTTGTTTGTTGTACCAACACATGTAAATCTGTTGCTTATGATTTGTACCGAATAAATTATTTTGTTTAAATTTTTAAATGTTTAAAAAAACGTGTTGTGCACATCAGTGACTTCTTAATAAAAAAATTACTAAAAAAATAGGTAGTTCCTATGTACAATTTGAATTTGAAAGGTGCGCAGTAAAGATACAATAACTGTGCACCTTCTTCACTTGAATATTCTGGCGTATTCTGGTTCCAGGAGTAAGACGTGCTGTAGTTGCGTACTTTGTAGCGTCACTGCTTTAGTTTTCACAAATCTCTTTGTTCCCTACCAACGTGGAGATCAGTTTTTTTATTTATTTATTTATTTATTTATTTATTTATTTATTTATTTATTTATTTATTTATTTATTTATTCATGCGTCAGTTGACGCGCCTATAAAGAAACAAACAATAGAAAACATTGTGGTTAGGCAATGGTTTTTCGTAACTACTCGAATTAGTATCAGATACTATAATCGTCTAGCTCAAATACTTTTGAGTTAAATAAGTTAAGTCTGACGACCGATCGATTTTACCACATTTAGCATCTTCAATATAAATTAGAGTGAGAGTTTACGATAGTGTGTGCAGCGTGGAAGTACATGCACCAGTGGAAGCAACAGTCAGGGGCGAAGGAAGCGAAATGTCGCGTTTTGTGGCCAGAAGTTCACTTGCTGGACAGCGTACTGGGCTTGCCACCAGGGTCGTTCCTTTCGTTGTTACCTTTTCAAAAATTTTCACGTCCCTCCCTTCCCCCACGGTGAGACGTATGCCCCCTTTTTCGACACCTCGACCAACCATTCAATATATTAGTTGATTAGTGGTAACTTTGAAATGTCGTTTTTGATCAAAGATTATTTTAAGTATAAAAGCTATACCAAAGCTTATCAACCTAATTTATTTCCTTTATGTGTGTCATCCACTCTCCACCTTTTGTTATGCAAAGCATGGAGGTCTACCTCGTAGAACTCTTCCAGGTACGACTCGAAGAAGTTAGGGTAAATTTTGACGTCGTCGCGGTCATTGGATTTATTTGCTGCTTAGGGTTTCTGTATTGGCCTAGGTCAGTGATTGTTGGACGGTGCCAGGTCTGAGCTACATATGGCGCGAGAGGCAGAGCGTCCCAGCCCAACTTCTCGATTTCTTGTTGCAAAATTTTCGCGACATGTGATCTTGCATTATCGTGCCAAAATTTTTCAATGACCGAATTTGCCCTTTGACTACGCAGAGCCCGATCCTCGCCTGCGGGTGTTGTGCGCAGGGTTTAGCTGTAACTATGTGACGCTCAGTCACTCTCCATAGTAAGCCATTCTTATACTGCTTCACCACACTATAGCAACACTTTTTCTCTGTGGCTGTCCGGTTTCGGAGAGGCCCTCAGCTGCCCATCTGTTGCCAACCACGGCCATCTTCTCACTTTGTTATCGGGGAACATCCTTCTGTAAAACACGCCTTCAACGAAGTCAGGAACCTTCTTCTTCTTGGAGTTATGCAGCAGAGTTCAAGTATTGGCAACCAATACTGCTTGCTCGTGTCGCTCAGAATAGGCCGAACCCATTTTCTTCCTGAAGGCCCTAACAGTCGCACGTAGGAACTTTCAAATTTTTCTGTTGACACAACTGAATCTCCATGCAAGTTTTGTGCGGTATGTCGAGGACTCAATTCGTTGGCCTTCTTTATTTCTCCTTCATCTGGAGCTAGAGGTCAGAATCCACGACCATCGTCATCAGCTCCTTTACCTCAGTCTTAGAAGAGCTGAAACCATGGCTGAAAGTGCACCAGAAACTGAGTGTTGCTGCTCAATGTTTTGCACGTAATGAGTGGGATTCGTTGGCTGTTTTCCTTGCTTGAATATACACGCTCAGGCGATGTTTTCTGATCAATCATATTCGAGCAAAAGTTTTGGCTCAAAGAACATCCGCTCGCTGACGGCTAAGGTTTCGCAATATGCGCACTGAATTGCTCTATCGAATGGATGCTCTCCCATATTACGAGGTTGAGTTTCAGCTGAGAAACAAAGCCACTAAAGGAAGCGACATTTCAAAGTTACCAACCTATAATATAATTCTGGTAGACTCCTCCAAAACCCGCCCATTTTTCCTCCAAAATTGCCGTCGAGCGGGGGGTATATACGGCACGCTGAAACGGCGAATTTTTCTCCCATGCGCTCCCAGCCTACTACTCGTGAAAACTCCACTTTCACCACAAACTCACATGTATTTCACGCGACTGAAGCGGATACGACCCCCCCTCCTATAAACTCAACCAGGTACGACCCCCCCCGTTGTTACTAGTAACAACGTAGGGTTGACCCTGCTTGCCACTCCTTTCTGAGCTCCGCCACGGCCTGTGCTCCGCCCCCAGCAGCACCCTTCGATTATCATTTTGATGAGGTATTCCGCTTTGAGTGCGTATCCTATAACTTTCCCATGGAACGCGTTACCAATCAAAGCATGGCCTTTGCTGGTATGATGGTGGCTATCGGTTAACATGTGCAAAAGACCTCTTATTGGTTGCTAGCTCGTCCATTATCGGAGGTCAACGGGCAAAGAAAGGGTCCCATTTTGCGCCTTCTTGACGGATTTCTTTGCTTTTTTCGCCACTGGGGCATTATTCAGCATCCCACTTCCACTATGAACCCAGTCCAATCTTATCGTAATCTCTCGCATCAAGTTGAAAAACGGACCACACTTCTCCACGTGGGGAAACGTGAATCAAATTCATGTGATTCATTTTTTTTCACATGCGCGCTGCTTCCTCCCATGTTTTTATATCCATTCTCGTTAGATCATAATCAGCGATAAAGATAACCAAAAACACATCTGCTGCCTTGTCCTAGGTCTTTCCAGAGCAGCACAGCATCTTGTTTAGACCATGGTGATCATCGTGGCTGCTAAAGGGGAGCTGCTTTACCGGTAGCCATCGGCAAGAATTTCAAGAACTTCATAGGATCTGGAACGTTCAGTTTCCACGTCTGCAAGTTCCCAAAGATTCACCATAATCCGAGGTCTTTAGTAATGAGTGCACAGTGGACTGCTGGTGGAACGATGAAAGAAGAAGTTAGAGAGAGATGCCTTTGAGAAAAAATGAGAGTCACGAACTCAGGTTTAACCCCTTCAATTGCAAAACAAGGCCTACCCCTCCCCTTTACAAGACAAACTCACCAACTCAGCACCGAAACGGAAGTAAATGATGGCTGAAGAAGCAGGAGCGCTTTTGGCATATTGCGAACGGAAATACCCCCCCTCCCCTTCAAAAAGCCAGAAAGTGTCGGGTGCAGACCATACACCACAAGTGACGACGGCCTCCAGAAAATTAATGTTTTTGCCAATGAAATGATTAACCTGTTGCAGTTGTATTCTCAGTTAACTACGCACTATTGAGCTATTACAACCCCAGAGGGGGTGAGATGGATCAAAAAAATTTTTTCGCTGAAACTTGCGCTAGGGGGGTTATCGAGGCTCCTGATCACGAATATGACCTTAGTTTTGGCTCAATTTCTCTAGGTGACGCTCGAAATAGATGTCATCTAGGCGCTCATCCAGTAAGGGGGCATCAAGTGGCTGCCCTCACCCCCCACCCCCCTAGACTGCCTACACTCCCCCTGGCACACAGGTTTCTCGAAGTACGGGACCCCGTGAGCCAGGGGGAGTGAAGCCAGTTCAGGGGGGTGGGGGTGAGGGCAGCCACTTGATGCCCCCCTTACTGGATGAGCGCCTAGATGACATCTATTTCGAGCGTCACCTAGAGAAATTGAGCCAAAACTAAGGTCATATTCGTGATCAGGAGCCTCGATAACCCCTATCCACAAGTTTACAGCGAATTTGGTGAGAACACCCTTGGCGCCAATTGGCGCCAAATGGCGCCAATTTGGCGCCAGCGCCAAAAACTAAGGTCATATTCGTGATCAGGAGCCTCGATAACCCCCCTAGCGCAAGTTTCAGCGAAAAAATTTTTTTGATCCATCTCACCCCCTCTGGGGTTGTATTCAATATGTTGACACTAATTACAACTATCATTTACCAGAAATCAGCTATCACTATGAACCACTTCTAACCAGATTTACTTGGAGGCCGTCGTCAGTTGTGGTGTTTGGTCTGCACCCGACACTTTCTGGCTTTTTGAAGGGGACGGTACCTCCATTACTTCATCCAGAAATAGGTTAGAATTAGGTTTCGGCGGGCCTTCCTAAGATCAGCGCTGTAAAACGCGCACGTGGATATCTTTAAAGCGATCTGAGGTTATACCTTTGTTATAGCCTAACGATTTCCTGCACCGACAATCCTTCCATTCTTGCCATACTCATTTTGCATCTCTCTCTACCCCCCCCCCCCCCGAGAGCAAAATCACCGTGGGTTGTGCCGATCTCAAAAGTTTCCA